ACTATCTTTTATCATATCCTCTATACTACTGTAAATAGTTGTAATATGTAAGCTTACAGAGAGATGAAATATTTTATATTTTCAGTTGTTTTTTTTTTTTTTTTTTTTTTGAGAATTCTCTGATCTCTTTTATCCCTTTATCATATGGTGACATTCCTTTTCCTTTTCCTACATTACTCATATTCCTTATAGCCATCCTCATGGACGACTGAGACTACCCTTCATATTATATATAACCTGTATTGTTGTTCTCCATATCTTGTTGTCTCCACCCATCCAAACTGCGCTTTTCTGTATCAAAGCCAAAGGGTCTTCAGGTTTCTGTTGTTTCCATCTCCTAAACTGCCATGGGAGAAGTCGAAGAAAGAAATATAACAATGAGTTTCCTTTCCAAACTTTCTCTGTTATTTTTGCTTCTTTTCACTTGTTTTTGGAACAAACCCAGTAGTCTCAAAGAAAAACACACTCTGTTTGGTAAATTGTTGTTAGCTGATTTAGTTAATGAGTTTGACTAATTGATAGCATTAGCTGATTGCAGGAAGATATTTAGTAAATTAGTTGTTCGCTATAACTGATTACATTCAAAATGACTTTCTCAAAAATCTGATCCAAAATTAAAAATTTTTTGAACATCTTTTTAAATTTTAACATTTTAATTAAAAACAATAAATTATTACAAAAAAATTTAATTAATTAAACGTCTTTAATCAAATCAAATAATTAACAATGGTCAAATAAATTAAAATTGACAGATAAACTAACTAAGTTATCAAATATGACCACAGTCTAGTTATGACATTCGCAGGAGGTTCAACCGGTGACCGACATTATAGAGATAAGGTATACCAGAAATAATAATATAATTGAAAGGGTCCAGAATAACAGACCAACAGGCAGGGCAAAAGATATATAGTGATAAAGTAATATAACCCACAAAAATGAGAATAAAGCTTCATTATTGACAACAAATTAATTTTATTTCAATTCAAAAGTACTTTCCAAGTTGATTTGATGATTATATATTTATACATAAGGGCTTTGGCCTTCTCTTCAAGTCTTCAAGTCTTCATTAACGATAATAATTACGGATGATAGATGGCTTGGTTACGATTTTTATGATTAAGTCCAAAAGAATGATCAAGTAAATAAAATATAATTTTTATATACATTCTTTTGTTAAGTTTGTATATATAGTAGTCGTAAATAAAATAATTAAGTTCAAAATAAAGATCATGATATACACTCCTGTATTTACCACTCACAAGAGACTACTTTTGATGTGACAATTGTATAGTTGGTTTATGGAAAAGACTATTACTGTTATCTGAATGTGCACTTTGAGTGAAATCCAACAATTATATATTTGTGAGTGACTGATTGTGATAGACAATTGTATGATGCTTAGCATTTTCCTTAAAATAATAGTTCATTTAAAAAAACTTACTAGCTTATTGTTTCAAAAATAAATTCTTAACTTTTATTTTTTCTATTTTACCTTATTATTTTTAGAAAATGATAGAATCCATCACTCCCAATTAAAATTCATCCTCATGTATTAACATTAAAAGTTGTAAATTAGATTTAAATTTATTTGTAAATATGTGCCAATGATCAATGAATATGGTAGCATATAATGTATATTATTTAAATATCATGATAAGGATGTGAACAGAAGATAAAATAAAAATAATCATCACACAAAATGATTGCAAGTTTAATAATATCTTTTTCCTGTGTTCAGTGACGGAGCTACGTGATGGGGTAGGGGGGCCTGGCCCCCTCACCTCATCCCCACCCTTACCCTCACCCTAAATTTTTAACAAATATGTATGTATATATTGATATAGTAGAGATAAAATATACTTTTGCCCCTCTATTTTTTTTAAAATAAAACAATCTATTATGTTTATATTAAATGAACCTCAAAATATATATTAAAGTTCACTATTTTTCATTAAATAAATAAATCATATAATTAAAATTAAAATTTTTCTTTATTATCTATTTCTTTTATCAAGATTTTAATAATGAAGAGAATCAAGTATACATTTTAATTTTAAAAAATCTCCAAATCAGAGATATATGCTTTGATTTTATTAGTAATGTTGATTAATTAATTAGTGATTTATTGTGTGTTTAAATGTTTATTTACATTTTTAAGATGTACATTTGCTAGTTTAAAACTTTAAATGATTAGTTTTGAAATTGACAAAAATTAATATTGAATGTTTAATTCGTCTTGGTTTTGTCTTTTATCTCTCAAATTTTGAAATATTCAGTTAATCAATGAAATGAATATCAGTTAATTATGAAAAAATTTGGTGACAAAATAATTGAAAAATCTTTTATTTGATGTTAAGAGAATATATATTTAATAAATGTTGTTGCTATTGTTATATTATATTTTGTGTTATGTGAAAAATTTATAAAGTAATGATCGGCACATGTGTCGATCGTACTCATATAATTATGTATTTCATACTTTATTACACATAGTATAATTAGAAATTATTATCAGTAATAATCACAATAATGTATGGTATATATAATAATATGGTACGATTAATTATAATGTCGGCTAAAATTGTAAATTTTCTCTACTACACCGGCCCCCCCCAACTCAAGTTTTCTGGCTCCGTTCCTGCCTGTTTGCCGTCTAAAACGTTATTCAAGTCATAGAACTATTATCATTTGAATATTACTCGCAATTTAATTCATATATTCATAATTTTAATATAAGAAAGGACCATAACTAAACTTGTACTGTAGCTTTTATTAAGATTCCAATATTTTATTTTTAAAAATAAAATAAAATATTAAAAATGCTATCGTCAGCGATGGTTTCTTCTTGCGGGGCGGCAATGTAGTTTTTTTTTTTTTTTTAAACACTTTGTAAAGTATAGATATTAAATTAATTAAAGTAGGGAAGAAATTAAACAATATTGATGTACTAAAAAAAAAGTTGATGGACCATGGGCTTATCAGGCTAATTAATTGGAGTCCAAGTGGAGTTGATTGATAAATGGAATTGAGCAGGCAAATTATATCATGCACCAGGGCGCAAAAATGTATTGTGCGTCCTGACCTAAAACGATGTTATTTTGTATTTTTTTTTTTGGAAATTTTGTTTCTTGTGTTTGCAATTAACTTCTTAAAAAAATCACAGGTTTCGAATGTACATAAGTGTATAATAGAATGTACATAATTGTATAATAGAATGTATGTAATTGTATAACAGTATGCACATAATCTTTTTTGAAAGGATAATACACATAATCTAACATAATACATGATACATATAAACTCTTAACTCTTAAAAAAAAAAATTCTCTGTTTCGAATGTATATAATTTTATAATAGAATGTACATAATTGTATAACAGAATACACATAAACTCCATCGAACTCTCCACACAACTTAACAAAACGACGTCATTTTGGCAGGGCGGGCGCACAATGCATTGTGCGCCTAGTGCGCGATATAACGATTGAATTGAGTTAGGCATGGAATTTGGGCTTGGGGCAAGGATCAAATTGCAAGGCAAAATTATTATGTGGACCATGGTCCACATAGTACTGTGTGAATTATAAAAAAATACTCCCTATGTCCTATTTTATGTCTCTGGTTAGGTTAACGAGACTTGACTGATGTTATTTTTAATTCAATTTTTCATAATATTAAGTTTAGTATTAGTATACAAAATTTATATATTTAGAAACTACACTAAAAGTACTATTAAAACAAAAATTAAATTTAAGAATAAGTAAAAAAAAAATACTAAAGAAAATAAGCAATAATAGGGATATAGGATATGCGCTCAAGATCTGTTGGGGCTCGCGGTATTGGGCCAAGGTAAATGGAGGTGGGGGATTAGCGTTGGCCGAAAGGGTCTCGGGGAGGAAGATGGTCCGACGTGGGTGTCGCCGGCGACAGCGGGGGCTCGGCCGGGTCGCGGGCGTCAAACGTGCCTGGTGACATGGCCAGTGCGCCACTGTCGCAGGGTCGCACCCCCTCGCTGCTAGTCTATCGCGGCAATCAATGTCGAACAGGGCCCCGCGGGTGGCTAATTGGACTCGGCCGGCCTAGGCGCGGCCAGCGCACAGGCGGCGCGGCTTTGCGCCAGTTGTGCGCCCCCCTCCCCATTTCCAGGGTGTGGCGTGAGGGGGTGGGGAGGTGTTGCATGGGAGTGCATGGCGGAGGTGATTGGACAGCGTGTGCGTAGTGATAGTATGTGGATGAGAGACGTGGGGCACGTGGAAGCCTCCGAATTGAGTCAGTCTGAGAACGTACACGTAGAGGGTGCAAGACATGGGGGTCAAGCAATAAATAGGGTGCCTGGCTTCCTATCAAGGACATGTCTGAACACTACAAGCACTATGGTCTAGTAGTCTTGATCTTATGTTCTCAAACCCTTGTTTAGGTTCGATTTTTTTTTCAGTAGCATATTTAGCTATAGCCCATCTTCTGGCATTGTTCTTTGTATTTGGGCACCATTTTGTGCCTGTACCTCGGCTTTGTGACGTACTATTTTGGGCCTAGCGCCCCGGGTAATAAAGCTGTTATTTTCTTACCCTCCGTTCTATACCTCTACGTCTCGTTTATGGTGGACCCGGTCCCGATAAAACCATCAAGCAAAAAATAAAGAGTTGGTTTGACCAATTAATAGTAAGTAGAACAGATAAAATGGAATAGATGGAGTATATTTTTAATAAACTTAAAGTACATTATTTGAGTATTGAATGTACATTATACAAAATAATTTATTTTCAATACTCAAATAATGTACTATCTCTGAATAGAAGATACAATTTTAATATACTAAAAATAGAATATTTGTTTACTTCGTACATTATATGATAATATACAAAATAATGTATTTTCAGTACTTAAATAATGTACTTTTTTATTTATGGTATATACAGTTGTGTGAACCATAATCAGTGCAATAACAACTCAAATTGCAAGGTTTGGGCTTGGTTTGGAATGGAAGAGGGCGCCAGATGGGGGAGGGGGTGGTGCCTCAGCCACAGTCGGCAAGTGCCCCCCTCCCCCACACCATTGTTGTTGACGGTAGCCAAAAGGGACACGCCAAGGAGGAACACGAGAAGCATCTCCGCACAACCTTACAAACCCTGAGGGAAAATCAACTATACGCCAAACTCTCTAAATGCGAATTCTGGAAGGACATCGTGGCATTTCTGGGCCATGTGATAACCAATGAGGGGATCAGGGTAGATCCAACCAAGATTCGCGCAGTCAAGGAATGGCCCGCACCAAAGGCAGTTCCAGAGGTTAGGAGCATCCTTGGGCTAGCCGGTTACTATCGAAGATTTGTACCCGATTTTACCAAAATAGCCCAACCCCTGACAAGGCTCATGAAGAAGGAAATCCCCTTCAATGGGACGTCAATTGTGCTTCGGCTTTTCAGGAATTGAAGGAGAGGCTGACCACAGCCCAGTATTAGCACTACCCTCGGAATAGAAGGATTCGAAGTTTTTAGCGATGCTTCTAAAAAGGGGCTGGAATACGTGCTAATGCAAAATGGCAAGGTAATAGCATACGCGTCCAGACAACTCAAAACCCACGAGGAAAATTACCCCACACACGATCTAGAACTAGCCGCCATTGTATTCGCCCTAAAAATCTGGAGGCATTATCTATACGGGGTGCAATGCAAGATCTACACGTACCATAAAAGCCTGAAATACATCTTCACTCAAAAGGATCTGAACATGCGACAACGACGGTGGTTAGAACTCATAAAAGATTATGACTTGGATATTCAATACCACGAAGGGAAAGCTAACGTTGTGGCAGACGCACTAAGTCGAAAAATGAGCTACTCGCTCAACACCACGTGGGTACTGTCAGACAAACTATGTAAAGAATTTCAAAGGTTAAAATTGGAAATAGTGGAGCAAGGACTAACAGATTCGGAAATCCAACTATTTAATCTCAGAATCATACCCACACTATTCGAAGAAATCAAAGCCGGACAACAACAAGATCTTGAATTGGATAAAATCTGAATCGACCTGGCCAGGGAAAGGACGGGCCATTCAAACTATCTAATGGAGGCTCGGTGGATACCCATTACCTTGTTCTTGAAGGTAAAGCCTTTGACCCGGAATCTTTTTCTAATTCTTTGTTGGATATGCTTAGATTCCAAGGTTTGTTGGATGGGTTTCTCGCCATAAGGCCGAGACTTACCCGAGTTTGGTTAAGGAATTTTATCGTCACATGGTTGTGACAAAGGATGGTGATAATCTTGAGATCACTTCAAAAGTGAGAGGTGTGAAGGTAGTTCTGTCTGAAAAGAGGCTAGCTCAGCTTTTGAGTCTATCTGCTTCAGGAGTTGCTCAGTATAGCGGTAAATCGTGGATTAGTACGGATACCATGGGGTACCGGGACTATTTGAGTTACTTGTTGGGTCGCACGAGTGGTTACACTCAAGCTTCAAGGCCGGAGAAAAAGTGGTTGTCTGCGGAACAGAGGATCTTGGTTATGTTGGTATCGGATTGTTCGTTACCAATAACAACAAAGTAAGTTGTTGGGTAAGTTGGAATGCACCTTTGCCTTTTGCCTCAAGAATATGGTCAAGTTCAACCTGCCAGCTTTGATGTTGCAACATATGGTTTTCTGCCGTGATCATAACCGAAAAAGCCTACCGTATGGGATGGTGTTGAGCTGGATTCTGGTTAGGAAAGGTGTGAGTGTTGATGGTTATCTACCGAAGGCCGTGGGAAAGCTGGTGTTGGATGCCACCAATCTTCGAAGTTGCAATCTGTTTCAGTTGGAAGATAGTGATTACATCACTCTTGAAGAAGTGGCAAGGAAAGCCCCTGAGGAAAGAGCTGAGTTGGCAGCCGAGCTTGGGATTCATGCCGGGAAGTTAAACCTCGCAGTTCAGAGTTTGGGTGGCAATGAATAAGATGAAGGTGAGGTAGGCCATGAGGAAGAAGTGGAAGCACCGGAAGCTGCCGAGGCCGAAGAAAGTGATTCTGAAAGTGAAGAAAATCAAAGGAGGAGGGAAGCTCGCACCAAGAAGGAGCATGATGCCATGACGCATGAGGAGCGCGTTGTCACCTTGCTTCGTCAACAGAACCGCATGATCGAAGAAGGCTTCGCGTTCATGAAGACGCAGTTTTTCGCCGTGCATCAAAGGCTAAATCAGATCGAGACCAGTTCAAGCCGCAGAGGAGAGGATGATGAAGAATCCGAGGAGAGCACCGAAGAGTCGGATAGCGAGTCCTTCTAGAGTGGGGTTGTGGCCGTCTTGCTTGCTTTTCTTTAGTTGTTGTTATCTTCTTAGCCGTTGTTACCGTTTAGTCGTTGTTTGCTTTTATGCTTTTTCTTGCTTGTTGTTTTGTTGTTTAGTTAGTTTTGTAGTTGGCATTTTGAGTTGGTTGACTAGTTCCTAGTTGTTGGTTAGAAGTTGGTGTTTGTGATGGGACTAGAGTTCGTTATGCTCAATTTATCCGTTTTATTTTAACTTTTGCTAATCCTTGTTTGGATTCTTTCTTGTCTTGAAATCTTGTGGAATCTTTTGGGGTTTTGAAAAGAAATTGTTCTTGACACTCTTGTCACATTGATGTTCCTTTTTGCCGTTTGTTCTAATTCGTCGTACCCAAGCTTCGGGGACGAAGCTTCTTTGAAGGGGGAGAGGATGTGACACCCCGAAATCCAAATTCGATTAAGGGATTAATTAAATAATTAATCCTATTTCAATTGGTAATTTAATTCCTAAATCCTGAAAATTCAATAGTCGGGGACTAGTAATTGACTAGTCAACCCCAAAGTCAAAGTTGTACCTTGAGCTTTGTAAGGAGTTCCCTTGTTTCCTTACACCCCTTCATGTTAGTAAGGGTATTCTTGACTTTTCACCTTGTGTTAGTATTGTAAGCTAACCTAATAGAACACCCTCATTTCTCTTCTTACACTCCCCAAATTCTAGCTCCACCTTCTCTTTAAAAAGGTAGATAGCTTTTCTTCCAAGCCAAGTTGAAGCTTTGCCAAAACTTCAAGAGTTGTCTCCAAGATTCTACCTTTCATACATTTGGGCATCTAGGAGGGTAAGATCCATGTTCATCTTGTGTTTTTAGTGTTTTCTAAGGTGTCTTTTCTTAAAGATAGAATCTTTATGATCTTTTAGTGTGTTTCTTGAAGTGGGTTTGGACGGTGAGCTTTGTTAGGAGCTTGGTGAGGTGTTAAGACAAGGTTTTTGTCTACAAGAGGTAACACATGCTCTACAAAATCTATTTTGCTTACCTATATGAATATTTCTTGGATTCTACATGTGATTTTGCTATGAAATGTGAGTGTTTATGCATTGTCTTGTGAAAATGCATATCTAGAGCTTGTGTTTAGGGGTTCTTGTATGACATTGCTTGGCTATTCCTTTGATTCAAGTCACTTGGTTGTATTTGGTGAGTTTTGGCATGTTTTGGACGTGAATTTGAGCTTGGTGATGAAAATCCCGAAGGGATTATTTTGTGTAGGTATACATACCCGCGGGCGGAACGGCGGGCAGAGCCCTACCCGCCGCCCCACCCGCGGGGAACAAGGCTTGTGGGTAATGTACCCGCGGCGGAACTGCGGGTAGGGGTCTACCCGTGGGTCCACCGCGGTGTACACTTTGGTGTACAATCAGGATTTGTTCTCCGTGATTCTTTTGACTCGGTATTTGGTCTTTTGACTGTCCGATGTTCTTTTGTGGAACTATTTGAGTGTCTTCTCGATGTTTCGTATGTGTAGAACTATATGGTAGGAATCCATGTAGGTTTTGGTGTCGTGAATCGTGCTAAGTGTTCAACATTGTGTTTCGTTGAACCGTGATGAGTCTTGTGTGTTATTCGGAACTACGTTTGGTTTACCCGTTTGATAAGCATGCTTGTTCGGTGTTTAAATGCTAGCGTGTGTGTTGTTTGTACCTTCTTATTGGTTGATGATAACTTGTGTTATTCATCGTTGTTGTTGTTGGGCTGTGACCCATTCCTTGATTATGGTTTCATATCTTCGTTGTGATCCGTTGATTGATTCCTGTTGAGGTGTGGTGTGTGTGGCTTTACCTGGATTGCACGATTAGTGGTATGGGACACTAGTCACCAAGGTATTGCAGTGGTCCTCGTGGTGGCCATGACGTGATTATGGATTTGTGGCCTTTGTGTAAGTTCACGTGTTTATTTCTGGATAACATGTGTTATCCAGGGCATGTGTTGCCGTGTGTGTGATCGGTACCCTCGTGTACTATGAAATCGGTGGTTCTGTTGGAGGGACTATTTGAGGGGAACGACGGTTCCTTACAAGATTCCCCATCTTTTCTCTAAATCTTTCTTCTACCTTGTGGGTTTTGGGAGTTTGTAGAAGATCTAGTGGTGGGTGAAGTGCTAGGTTGATCTAGAGGAGCTTTGGTCTTGCTTTAAGGTTGAAGAAGGTGTTCTTGGTCTACAAGAGGTAACCCATGCTACACAAAACCTATTTTCACTTGATAATAATGATTATTGGCTTCTATGTGACATTCTTGATGTGTTTGAGTGATTGATGCGTTGTCTTGTGGTGATGCATTTTTAGAGCTTGTATTTTAGGGTTATTAATGCTATTTTATGAGTTATTCATAGGTTCAAGTCATATCTTTGTTGTGTGGAAGATTTGGGGTCATTTGGACTTGAACTTGACCTTAAAACTGCAAAACAAGGAATGCTGATTTTTGGGTGCAGGGTGTACCCGCGTGGAACCGCGGGTGGAGCCCTACCCGTGGTTCCCCCGCGGGGAACATGTTTGGGATTGCGGGGATTTGTCCCCCGTGATCCCTTCTTCTTGGTTTTTGATGTTTTGACCTCCGTTGTTGAATTATTGAGCTTTTGTGAGTCTTCTTGATGTTTCGTATGTCTAGAACGATGAGTTAGGAATCCACGTTAGGATTTGGTGTCTTGAATCGTACTTATGATCCAACCTTGTGATTCGTTGGATTGATGTTGAGTCTTTGTGGTTTATTAGAAATATTTTGGTTTACCCGTTTGATATGCATGCTAGTTTGATGTTGTAATGCTAGTGTGTGTGTTTGTTCTTTCCTATTGAGGTTGGTACTTGTGTTGACCATCGTTGGTGTCGGATTGTAATCCTTCCTTGTTGAGTATAGTGTCATATCTTTGTTGTGATCCATTGATTGATTCTGTGATGAAAACATGGGTATTGCTGTACCTTGATTGCACGATTAAGGGTATGGGACCTTAATCTCCAAGGTACAGATGGGTATCCGTTGTTGTACACACTTTGTGTGGAATCTAGGTGTTGTTGTATCTCTAGATTCCGTGTGTTTTGACTCTTGATGAGATGGGATTGATGTGATGAGATGATTGAGCAGGTAAAGTGGATAGTGTGGGGACTTATGTGTGAACGGACCGGTAGTGAAGCTCCGGATGGCCGTTTGGTTACT